GAGGAGAGATGAGGCCGTCTTCCACTGTTGCTTTTCCTCTCATCCCCATGTGACATGGGATAAATTTGGTGTTTCAAATTTGTACGGGAATTGGATCATTTAGTGAATCTTGTCGGGACACTGGCTACCTATTTAGCAGGAGCCTGATCTCTTTCTCAAACACCATGCACAAATGTATTGCAGATAAATTAGTTTTAAACACAAAAATTGAAATAATTAAAGCACTAAGAATATGGACTTAGAGAAGGTCTTTACAGGAGCGCAGGTATAATAGAAAAGATTGATAATTAAGGCAGCGAAAGCTTTAAGCTTCCCCGTTGTCAAAAACGTTGTAAACAGTATTAATAAGCAAAAAGCGAACTAGGACAACAACTTACTCCTTATAGAGCTCTTTCAAATCAGCAAGATAAAGACAACCCACGATAGACGTTAAAAGGACATGAAACCCCAGAAATCTACAGATTAAATGCAATCCCTATCAAAAGCCTGATGTCATTTTTCACAGAAGTAGAAAAAACAATACTAAAATTTATACGAAACCACAAAAGACCCCGAATAGCCAAAACAATCTTGAGAAAGCACACAACTGGAAGCATCATAATTACTTATTTCAAAATATATTACAAAGCTACAGTAAATAAACAGCATGATACTGGCACAAAGATAGATGTAAGATTAATGGAATAGAACAGCCCAGAAATAATGCCATGCACAGTCAGCTGACCTTTGACAAGGGTGCCAAGAATTCACCATAAGGAAAGGATAGTCTCTTCACAAATGGTCCTGGGACAACCGGATATCCACATGCAAAAGAATGAAATTGGACCCTTAACTCACACCATACACGAAAATCAACTCAAGATGGATTAAAGACTTAAACATAAGACCAGAAACTGTAAACCTCCCAGGAGAAAACATGGGGGAAAACTTCATGATGTTGTTCTTGGTGATGATTTCTTGGTATGACATCAAAAGCACAAGCAACAAAAGCAAAAAGAGACAAGTAGGAGCACATCAAACTTAAAATCTCCTGCAGAGAAAAGGAAACAATAGCATGAAAAGACAACCTATAGAATGGGAGAAAATATTTGCAAATTATACATCTGATAAGGATTGAAATCAGGATCTTGAAGTGATATTTGCTCTCTCATGTTCATCGAAACATCCTTCACAATAGCTGGGATGTGGGAACAACCTAAATGCCCATGAATAGATGAGGAGGGATACAGAAAATCTGGTATATGCACAGCATGGAATAGTATTCAGCTTTATAAAAGGACATCCTGCCATGTGCAACGACATGGGTGGACCTGGAGGACAATATGCTAAGTGAAATAAGCCAGTCACAGGACAATATGGAATGAGTCCACTTACACGAGGTATCTAAAATAGTCAAAATCCTAGAATCAGAGAGCGGAGTAGTGGTTGCTGGGAATGGAGGGTGGGTGCCAGGAAATGTGAAGTCAGTGTTCAGTGGGATATAAAGTTTCAGTTGTGAAAGATAAAGTTGTAGAGCTGCGTTGTCCACCGTTGTGCCTATAGTTAACAAATATGGTAGTGTTCAGGTAAAATTTTGTTGAGAGGGTTAAGGGTTCTTAACACAATTTAAAAAAAAAATAATAAACACAAAAGAAAAATAAGGTTATTTAATCCCATGGAAAGGTAAGTTTGAAATTTTTAGGTTTAAAAACTAGTTTCAAAGCAGTATGAGGTACAAGTAATTTAAATTTTTAAAAAATATTCTACAGTAAACATGGGATTGTTTTTAAAAGCAAACATTGTACATGAATTGAAAGCACTACTGCTTCTAAATTAAGGTTTTTTGGTTTTTTGGGGGTTTTTTTGGTAGACCAAAGAAATAAAAAGGCATTGTCACTGTTCTTGGAGAGCTTATAATCTTATGGGTGGGTGGAGGTTGAATCTTTTTTTCCTCCTTGTTCCATGTGATTTTTTTAATAATTATATCTTCCTACTAAGAAAGAGGATGTTGTGGAAAAATTGGGCCTTGAGTTGCACGTTCTACAGTCGGAATAGAGAATTGAACTTATTATATTAAAGATTATGAAGAATAAAATGAAAATGTTGCAATTAATGTTAGGGAAAACAAGGAGATGAATGGTAAGATTACTATTCTGTATTGGGCTAAGGACGGTTGATTGGATAGAGATGTTTGATTCTCTGAAACAAGCCAGTTGGTTTAAAGTAATCATCTTGATTCTTTGTGATTATAACAACAAACAGGTCAGTCGTAGTTTGAATGCATTTCCTGGCATCTAAACACTGCCCACAGCACATGCTCTCATGTCTAGAATCATGACGTCATTGTTTTCTAAATCACTGATTTGAAAAAAAAAAAAGACAAAACATTTCTACACAGACTGCAGTAGAATTCTGTTGTTTGAATATACTGTGATATTACAACATACTGACCTGCCAAACACCTATCGTTGTCATCTTTTGTTGTTTAAGCCTTACTCTAGACCTTCTACAGTCTTCTAATTGTTTTTTGTCTGTGTCATTTAATGGACACTCAGCATATTTTGTAGGCTTTCTAAAACTATTCTAACATTTAAACTTTTTTAAAAGTTTTATTCCCCCTGGTTTTATTATCTTTGTTTAAAAAAAAATAGGAAAATTGGGCTGGGTGCAGTGGCTCACACCTGTAATCCTAGCACTCTGTGAGCCCATGGTGGGAGGATTGGTTGAAGCCAGGAGTTTGAGACCAACCTGAGCAAGAGTGGGACCCTGTCTCGACTGAAAATAGAAAAATTAGCCGGGGTGGTGGCATGAACCTGTAGTCCCAGCTACTTGGGAGGCTGAGGCAGGAGGATCACTTGAGCCCAGGAGTTCAAGGCTGCAGTGAGCTATGATGACACTGCACTCTAGCCTGGGTAACAGAGCAAGAACCTATCTCAAAAAAAAAAAAAAAAAAAAGACAATGCAGAAATATATAACAAAGAAAATTAAAAATCATGCCTACTCCACCTCAGAGCATTGCTGATGTTTTGGTATATTTGCTTCAATATTCTTTATTCTTTTTGTTTAAAGTTGAGATCCTACATTGCATAAAATTTTACATCAGGTTTTTTTTTTTTTCCACTTGACATCCCAATACAGGCTTTGCTGTACTTCATAAAGGCTCATCTTGGGCCTAAATTTTATAACTGCAAACTGTTTCATCTTAGGCACCAAAATTTCCTTAATTTTTTCCCCTACTGTCCTTGGTGATCCTTATCTTCTCTTAAATTAATACTTTACAAAGACTGACACTTTTTTATATTTTTAGGTATTTCTCCCATATTTAGTATAATTTCTGAAAATACAGATGGGTGTAAGTGATATGAGCTGATCCAGTAAAGAAATTTTTTGAACCAAGGTTTAATCTTTGCTCCTCCCAGGAGCATATATATTACAAAAATAGTTTCAACCGTAAAATACTCGCTTATTCAGTTATGTAAGTGAGTTTATTAAAAAAAAAAAAAGTGGAGTGTATAGAAGAGTGCCTGGAACAGTAGATTGTAAGGATTGACTTTTAATGGATTGGCAAACCAGCTCCTTTGCTTTGGCACACTTGTGCCAGGTGGCCACCAGGGGGCAGGCTGCGTATGGGAAGGAATTGAAACCCAACTTGGGCAGTCTTGCGTCCAAGCACACCTTTCTACATTTATGTGTGTGCGATTCCTTGTACCAACAAGAACTTTCGACTTCTCCTTCTAACTGGTACTATTTCTCTTTATTCCTGCAGCTTCTTGTTCTGCTGTTAGAAAAAGATAATCAGCAACATTTACTTTTAATATATGTGGTGTAGCTTAATATAATTCAATTTAAAATGTTAATCAATTTGATTAATTGGTGACTAGATTGCTAACTTCTTCCTTTAGGCCATCTAGGCTGAAGGATTTCCCTTTTAACAAGGATAATTTAGAATTTATGATTATCTAACACCAAACAACAACAACAAACAAAAACCCTCCTATATGGAGTTGTGGCATGTCTATTTTTAATAATACCAATATTTGACTCTATTCTTTTATTTCCTTTTTGTCCAGGGAGGTACAGATTGATCAGATTCTATTCTTCTATTTATGATTTTAATGTTGACTGGGTACCTTGATTTTTTACAAGGTTTTGAGGGTGGAGAAAGGTCTTGGCATGTTTTTAATATTCAGAATCTGGTGGAGAAAGGTGTTTGGGTTTTTTTTTTTTTTTTAATAATAAACTGATAATGTAAAAAGGCAACACTTAAACATAGCTTTTCTTGACATTCCTTGATTATTTGTGCTTCAGTTGCTGTGGTGCAATATATTTAGGAGATTCGTTGTCTGTGTGTGAACAGGTTGTATCACTTGGCAGGTTATTGGATCTGTCTCTCATTGGCAGCCTCTGAAATGGCAGGTTGGGGGCTTAAGTGACTCTGATCCTGCCTCTCACCTTCCCTCTTTGTATCCCAAATGCTCTGTAGAATTTCTAAAAGAATAGCTGCCTCCTGCCCATTTTAGTAGCATTTAATAGGGTTATTTATGGTTAACAATTTCTGCATTTATTTCTGAATTCTGGAACTTTTGGGACTCTTATGTCACATCTTGGTAGAGAAATTGCATTAACCTTTTATCGTTGACTATTTGTAGGGTCCTCGGCACTTGAGAATTAAAGTTGAACTTTAACATTTTGACAATCTGTTATTAATGTATTAGAGCAGACGTTTTATTAAAGATTGTAGTTGGGAACATTTGTTGCTCTGAAGTCTTTTTTAAAACTTGATTCAAGGTATCAGGTTCACATATTGGTTTACATGCAAAACATCTGATGGAAAAATGCTCACGTTATTAGCATGAATATAAGTAATTAAAAATTTTAAAATCAGGACACAGTTTAATGGAATCTTATTTTTTTTTCTAATTACTAAGTTACCATCAGGCACTCGAAGTAGTTAATTTCCCTTAATGATCTTTCAAGTCTTACGGGCTCTGTGACATTATTGGTTGTTACATAAAACCCCAGAGACCACCCACTCTCCCCTCCCTTCACCATCTCTGATGAAAACCATAACATAAGCATGTACGGTGTGATGTAATTCAGAGGCTGCTCACTTCTGGATTTGCTAAGAGGAGATTTCATGCAGAGGAAGAGCATTGTTTTGGCAACATCTGGGAGTGGGAACGGAAGCCAGAAACACTTGGATAGCTCTGGGTTTGTTTTTTTTTTTCCCCTTTTGCGCGTCTGTTGGTGGAATGACATTTGCTCCGTAGGCATGTTTCCTCTTGCTGTGTTTCTTGGCCTTGGAGAGTCCTGAGTTTAAAAAGACAGTATGTGATGGTCCGTGGAGGCTGCCTCTTCTGTGCAATCTTCCCACCTCCTCTGAAGACATGTTGTTGTCTCCCAAATTCTCCTTATCCACCATTCACGTACGGCTGACTGCCAAAGGACTGCTTCGGAATCTTCGACTTCCTTCGGGGTTTAGGAAAAGCACTGTTATTTTCCATACAGGTTTGTCTTGCACAGATCTCTGTTTAGTGTTGCACGGGTTTGGGGGACGTGGGGGCATCTTGATTAACTTGCAGATGTTTTTCAGATTTTCTAAGGAGACAGATAATTGGTGAAAGGGAAATAAAGCACTCTCTAATGAGAGAACTGAGCTTCATTTGTAAAAGTAAGCAGTTTTCTCTTGTGTTTCAGCACTTGGGTGCATGATACTTTAACGTGTGCAAGCAGGCTGTGTTCTGGTGTGTTTATGGAATTGTCGCCTGGGTGCTCTCTGCTCTGTCACTAACCAAATCTGTGAAAATCAACACCTGTCAAATTCCATTTTGCTTGAGTTGATTTTGGAGATAGGACTTGGGTAAATTAAGAAAAATATTTCTCTTTCCCTTACAAAAGGAGATGGGAAGGTTTCTCTAGTTTTCCATCATATGGTTTCTCATTGAGATTTTGACAGGCTGTTTTAATAAGATTCCTCTAGTCTAAACACTTCTGAAATAAAACATCCTGATGATTGTGGAGACGTAGTAAGTGGATCACGAACTTAGTTTTCTCATCTTCGTAGTAAAAATGTTTGCAATTACAAAATACTTCCTCTGATGTTTATGTTTATATCTGCTTTCTGTTTTGTGTGCCCAAGAGGGAAATAGATGGAGGATGTATTTCAGGTGGGTGCAAACCTGCCTGCCCCCTCGTAGGGGATTTGGTCAGCTCACACTGCTACCTCTTGTTCTAGATGATATTTGCAACTGTGGCAAACTGAGTTGATTTTATTCTGTGAAATACATAACTGGGTTGCTGTTAGAGTTGTTTCCGGCTGGTTAGTATTAACTGCTGTAGGATTGTTTAACGAGGATGTGGATAAATTATTTTTCTGTTTCGTGTGCACATCAGCCCTTACGTGTCTTGTTTTTCACTTGGCTCCTCTCTGTCCCTGGTGATTCTTTTTTTTTTTTTTTTTTTTCCCAGCTGACTGTTTTTAGTTTTCCCGGAGGCATCTGCCTTCTCCGTGGGAGAATTGTCACTCTCTCCAGCACCTCTTTCTCATGTTTCATAATCGCCCTTGACCTGCCCCTTGAGTTCGCCAGCCTTTGGCTCTCGGTCCGAGCCCACAGCTGCAGGTAGAGCAGTGGCCCTTCCTCTCCCAGCCCAGGTGCCACTGTACTTCTTCCAACCTGAAAAAATAAAATACAAGAGTGTACGAGCAATACAAGAGTACCCTATGTTTGCAATAATTTTTATGATCTAAAGCAGCTCCAAGTAGCTTTTCATTTTAACTATTGTTTTAAATAATGTAATCCGTGCTCCAAGTTCAAAATAAAAATCAAACAGTATAGAGGGTTGTAGAATCCTAAGTAAGCCTCTTTCCCAGCCGGGCTCCCTGCCCTCTCGCTGGAGGCAGCTGCCCTCTCAGCTGCTTGTGGATCCTTCCTGTAATTTTCTAATCATGTGTAAACCTATGTTGGTCTTTTATAGCCTTTTTTTGTTAAACAGAAATGAAAGCATACTATATATTCTTCCACACCTTACTTTTAAAAGTGAATGTATCTTAGATTTTCATGGTAACGTGTGTTTATCTACCGCAATCAAAAAAAAAAAAAAAAAAGTCTTGTAACATTCCGTCGTTGGGTGAGGCATGATTTATTTAACCGGTCCTCTGGTAGTGGACATTTTAGGTGGTTTGTAGTATTTTTGTGAAGCACATAGCTTTCCAAGACGGCTTAAGCAAAAGACAGCAAGACTTTTATTATCAGAGTTTAGTTAACAGTGATGTTTTAGGTACTTTTTATTTTCTGAATTTATATTAAATATTTTCAAAAATTTGATTGCAGTCACATTTTTTTGAGCTGGAGTGCACACAGAAGTGATCTAGTCTACCTTATTTTACACCAGGAAGTCTGAGGCCCAGAGAAGTGAATTAGCTTGCCCAAGGCACACAGTAAGTGGCAGTGACAGGATTAAAACTTAGGACCTCTGTTTAGAATCTTCGGCTCACACATTTTCCCGGTTGTGAATTTTGCTGTAATTCTGTTAGACCCAGAGAATAGTAGCAATAGAGAAAGAATTTGGTGTGTGGGAAGCATTTTAAAATTACGTAAAGCATTTAATTCTGCTTTCCCCAAAAGAAATCTTTTGTGAGCTTATCCATATTGCATAGTTTTAAGTTCCGAGAAATCTTCCAATAAAATGTATATTGAAGCCATTTCAGTAACTCTTACCTAGTGGACTGTAAGTATTAAGTTGTGTCTGGATTCCTAACGAAGGACCTGGTGTTGGTTGCCTTGGTGGCAGTGGTGGTGACCTGGATTCCAGGAGGCCTGGGTCACAGCCTTGGTTCTGCTGGTAACTAAATGACCTTGTGCACGCAACCTCACAGAGCTACAAAATAAAGATATCGGATGAGATGATTTCCAAGTTCCCCTTAGCCTTTAAGTTCTGTGAATTTTCTAGCTATAGATTAAAAAACGCTGGATGTGTTACTCTACCTGGAAATTCATCTGTTCTCTCCTGTTCCTTACCTCCTATATTCAGTTAATACTTCTGACTTACCTATTATTCTTCATGACACCTTGTTTTTCCCATATCTGGTCATCAGATCTCCGTCACCTTGGAATCATCGTCTGTCCTCATTTGTCCACAACCAATTGGTTGCAAGAATCTAAGACTCCATCCTTTGAAATCTTTGTTTTTAGCCATTGCTACTGCCCTCATTCCAGCATTATCAGGTTGAAGCATTTGAAATTGCTCTTCTTAGAAGTAAAAAGCCACCAAATACTGACAATTTTGTATAATCCAACCCAAGATTTTGACTGGGCTATCCGAAGGGTTTGATACTCCCTCCGGCTGTGCCACGTGCCTTTCCCTACTTCTAAACTGTCCTTCGCATTACAGATTAATTCACTCATGTGACAAAGAAGTATCAATTAGACAGGCGCTGTGTGCCTGGCACAGTACTGGGTGCTGAAATTATAGGCAGGACTGTGTCCCACGTGGCTCCTGCCTTTGCACAGCCCACGGCTTAACAGAAGGACACAGACACAGACCATCGAGTCATCATGGTAGGGCCGGCAGCTGAAGCAAAAGACACAAGGGTTTAGTTAATAGTGATGTTTTAGGTACATTTTATTTTCTGAACTTATATTAAAACATCTTTAAAAAATGTGATTGTAGTCATAATTTTTTAAGCTAAAATGCACATAGAGGTGATCTAGTCCACCTTATTTTACACCAGGACATCTAAGGCCTAGGGAGGTGAATTCGCTTGCCCAAGGCACACAGCGAGTGGCAGGGATGGGACTAGGACCTGCATTTAAGACTAGGTGTCCCGGCAGCTCTTAGCCAGTGGAGGTAGCTTCATCCACATCTTCCAGGAGAAGTGCCTTTTAAGTTGGATCCTCAGGAGATGTAGAATTAGCCAAGAAACAAAAAGTGTTCCAGACAGAGAAAACAACGTGCGAAAGCCTGGAGGTGAGGGAAAGAGAGGGTTCCTTCAAGGAAACAAAAGAATTGTAATATTTTTGCACATGTTAATAGAATGTGGTGCGAGGGAGGGGCCGGCAATCCCAGGGACCCAGGCAGAGCAAGCCCTTCCATCGAACCTACGTGCAGGGTGCTGTGCTTTTGCTATATTGTTGTTGGGTGGCACCTGCTGACAAAGCGCGTTGTCGAGTTCAGCGTGTCATTTCCTCTGTAAATAGAGGTGAGGAGAAGGAGTGAGTTTGTCGGTTCTGCCTGGTGTCGCAGGATGTCAGGCGTGGATGAAGATGTCAGGATCAGGGAGGAATCTTCTAAGAAGTCCAGAAATGACTTCACTGGCTTGCCAAAGTATCAAGCTCAGTCTGTTTCAGAATTTTACCAGAACATGTTAGTTCCAGTTTTATAATGAGCCACGGGATGGGAAGAAAAGACTTTTCTAAGAAATATTCCTTGCCACTTAGAATTCAGTTTTTCTGTGAAGCCGGAGAGACTTGTATTAATTACCGTGATGAATGATGAATACCATTTGTTCTTCTGGACTCAAGTGAAGGCAACTTACTGCCCTGAGAAGCAGAATTCTTTCTGCTGAGCTAAAGCAAAAAGAAGGGATGTATGTACATATGTATTAAGGAAAGACAGAAGTACTATTAGAATAAAACACTTCTATTTACTTAAAGCAGCGCTAAAGAGGACTATTTGACTATGTATTCATTCAGTAAGAGTCAGGCAGAATGTGGATAAATTGTTTAATTAGAATAAAATTCATCACATTATGTTCTTGTATTTGGTACTCACTTTTGATGCTGTCAAGTGGGACTGTTTCTAGCTGCAGATAACAGCTTTTACCTAAGAAGTAGTTTGTTTCAACTAAGGAGAGGCAGCTTTGATGTTCAGTGGCTCAGAAATGTCAGGGTTCTACAGCTCTGCTATTTTCTTAGCCCTTTTCTTGTGCCTGTTGCCTCATGAACTCGCAATGGCTGCTCCAGGAAGGAGGAAGAAGAGAGAGGAAAGGGGTGGTGTCAGACCACTTAAGCTTACATCTCATTGGCTAAATCTCTGTCACATGGTATCTGTACCTGCAAGGGAGTCTGGGAAATGGAGTGTCTGACCTCTCTCATCTCTGTTGTGTATGCAGGTATAAGATGGGTTAAGAACCTTATTATAGTGTCTGCCACAGAGAAGGCAAAAGAATTATTTCTCAGAAGCTGATATTAGCCTCTTATAAATGAGGGGAGTATATAATTTAACAAGTTGAATCTTGCAAGAGGCCTTGGTGTTTGTCTATTATGTGAATTTTGGGTTGGGGGATTAATGATTGCCTATTTGTAATTATTTCAATTAAACTTTTAAGTTTTGTTTTGGACATAAGTCTTAATGTTGGATTTTTGATCTCTTAAATGAATTAATTTTCAGCTGTAAAATACATTGAGAAAGGAATGTTCTCAACTTGAGATGTAGCTTTTATGTTTTGTTTTTTTTTTTTTTTGAGACAGTCTCACTCTCTTGCCCGGGCCAGAGTGCCGTGGTGTCAG